ATTACATGCGGAGGTGGAAAGGGTTTTATTATTGTCGAGAGATACTATGGTTGACCGAGGTCATTCAATTCTCGAAACAATAATGTGAAAATGTTCCACCAAATTATGTATACTATTCTATTTTGAACCATTAATTATTGGAAAAAATAGGGTAAAAATATGACAAAAATTGAATTTTGAATGACAGTCTGACACCGACATTGGCATCTTATGAAATTTCAACAATATAAACACATGTGACATCTACTTCTAAATACAAACATTGCACCTGGATTTGTGTGAAGGTGAAATAGAACAAATTATCAGGGCCGGAAGTGAGTTCTGCAGGCCGAAAGTGACAGGAGAACAGTCACTTCCGGCCTGCTTTAAAGTAAACAGAAGTAAAATGACATTTTCAAATCTCCAAACCAGTAAGGAATGCATTAATTACATACAGTGTGTTTCAAAAGTTTGGGAACGATCAAATATTTCCATAGCGGCTTGGAATAGAATTACCAAATTTTCTGCATATGGGTAATTAATGATGCCCGATTCAATGATCATATGGACAATGTTGCCAGATCTACCGGTTTTCAGATAATGTAGGTAACTTCGTTTTTTTAAATAGGAATACCAATTTATTTTCATTGCAATAAATTCGGCGCTCTATTGTTATTGAAACTTTTTGATATCATGTCATTATCTTACACGGTTGCTGAAATATGGCAAAACAGACTTTTTATACAAAAGTCTGGGAACGGTCAAATATTTCCAGAGCGGCTTGAAATAGAATTACGAAATTTTCTGCATATGGGTAATTAATGATGCCCGATTCAATGAAGACATCGACAATGTTGCCAAGTTCACCGGTTTTCAGATAACGTAGGCAACTTCGTTTTTTTAGATAGAAATACCACTTTATTTTCATTGCAATAAATTCGGCGCTTTATTGTTATTGAAACCTCTTGATATCATGTTCCTATTTTACACGGTTTCTGAAATATTGCAACACAGCGTTTTTGTTCAAAAGTCTGGGAACAGTCAAATATTTCCAGAGTAGCTTGAAATAGAATTACGAAATTTTCTGAATATGGGTAATTAATAATGCCCAAACTAATGATGACATCGAGAATGTTGCCAAGTTTACAGGTTTTCAGAAAGTGTAGGTAACTTCGTTTTTTTTTAAAAAAAAAATAGAAATACCACCTTATTCCTAATGCAATTTTGGAACTCTATTGTAAGTGAAACATCCTGATATCAAATCCCCATTTCAAGTAGTTTTTGAAATATCGCAACACAGACTTTTTGTTAAAAAATTGGCACGATGTTCATGTTATTGTTTCGACAAATTGTCAAAGAATACAGAGAGTCAGGTAGATCAGGTATGAATACAAAAATATTAACATGAGATAATATGACCTATTTTAAGCTAAGACTGTCCTATTAGGGCTACTAATTATGAGTCAATTGTTAGTATTTTCGGAATTTTCGCAAAATTTAAATTTAAAAAAATGTTAACAACGTGACAACATTGTAGAGATCATCTCTACCAGGATACTAGGTAAATAAAACTGGTAAATTCTTTTTTTTTATACGTTTTGGTTTGTTATTCGCTTTAAAATAATGTAAATAATTATTTGCATTTTTATCACTTTTTTAGTAAAAATAAAAAATGTGCCATTTTATTAAGTTGTGAATTGCACTCAATGACATTTCAAGAGAAAAAAATTTACACACTTACACTTTTCATATCACGCAATCTTTGTAAAACGGGCCCAATATTCTTTCATCAGGTGGGTGCCCTTCTATTGGGAAATCTTTCCCTGTAAATTCTGGCGGCTAAATGGGCATTTTGCAACGATTCTGCCTTAACAAGTATCTGCATATTCGACGTTTGTGAAGTGAACATTTTATTTTCAACCACCTATTCTTTTTTGTGCTATGTTGCCAAATGTTTAGATACCGAATTACGAGTGAAAGTGTCATGTTTTTTAAATTTTTTGTTATTGTTGTTGACTAAAAATGCATTATTACTTAATAATTGAATGAGTTAATTTTTTTTTTATCTCGATCTCATAATGATTAAAATTTTCTTTATCTTTCAAATATTTGTCAAAAATTGTCATAACTTCAAAGATCTTTTTCTTAAAAATAATTTTGTTTGGTTTGGACGTCATGTAAAAACTTTTTTTTTTCAAAATGGGCCATATTTTCAAGTGTTAAAACTTTTGTAGTCAAACCTGATACACCCTGTATAAAATATCAATTTATACTCGACAACCAGTTTTTTTAGTGATATTTTTGCCGGTATTATTGAAATAAAATAAAAGACAGATAATATTTTCCTAGGGTGCTATTTTCTCAAATCTCGAATTGACCCCTAGAAAATGTAATCCTACTTTTAGTCGTTATACAAATTTGACCGTTCCTAGACATTTGAACAAAAAGGCTGTGTTGCAATATTTCAGAAACTGTGTAAAATAGGGACATTATATCAAAAGGTTTTAATAACAATAGAGCGCCGAACTTATTGCAATGAAAATAAAGTGGTATTCCTATTTAAAAAAACGAAGTTACCTACCCTACATTATTTGTAAACTGGTAAACTTGGCAACATTGTCGATGTCATCATTGAATCAGGCATCATTAATAACCCACATGCAGAAAATTTCGTAAATCTATTTCAAGCCGCTCTGGAAATATTTGAGCGTTCCCAGACTTTTGAACAAAAATGCTGTGTTGCAATATTTCAGAAACCATGTGAGATAGGGACATGATATCAAGAAGTTTCAATAACAATAGAGCGCCGAATTTACTGCAATGAAAATAAAGTGGTATTCCTATTTAAAAAAACGAAGTTACCTACATTATAGGAAAACCGGTAAACTTGGCAACATTGTCGATGTCATCATTGAATCGGGCATCATTAATTACCCATATGCAGAAAATTTCGTATTTTTATTTCAAGCCGCTCTGGAAATATTTGAGCGTTCCCAGACAGAAAATGTTTTTTATCTTGAATAGTTTAGCCAAAGTGAAAGTAATAGGTTCGTTCCAACCCCCCGTTTTCGTATCGTCATGAAACGGTTTCGGAACTGTTAGGATCGATTGCAGGCGCATGCGTTGACCTTGCACGGTTTTATTTTGGTACAGAAACAACGGGTAGTTGGAACGGTTTCATGATCGTTTTCGTAATGACGACAGTTCAAATAACTTTAACCCTAAATTTGTTTGTTTGCAAATTAAAATAGAAGAATATAGGATTAGGATTACAAAATAATATATAAAAAAGGAAAATCGAACACCAACGCTGATTCATTATCAAGAATCTAAAACTGAATCCTTGCAAGCTGATAACATCAAGGATTAGCAAATAGCTGATAATAAATTTTGTACTTTTTTTCACTTGAAAAAATAAAAATGCTACAGTTTTATAAGTTAGATTGGAAATTGGTTGTTTAACAACAACATGAACAACAAAAACAGGTGACAAAAATTGAATTACGCATGTCAGTCATGAATCAGTCCACGCGGTTCTTGCTTTCCACTCGGGATCGAAATGACGGTGCTAAAACCAGTTCTCGAACGATCCCAGGTTTGGTTGGAACGCCAACGAAACTGTACGGTAAACGATCATCTCTCGGTTGGAACGCGTTTAACCTATGGCGCATGACTGTGACCGTACATTGTACGGTTTTTGGCTGGGTTGGAACGAACCTAATGACTAGTTTGTTTGACTTTCGGCTATTTGAATACACGCACCTAAAAGCGAGCTTTCGCAGCTTGAAATGTAAATATGTAACTATTTAGGTGTTTGGAGGTATTAAATACACCTCGTACCTAAAAGTAAGCTTTCGCAGCTGGGAATGTAAATAACTATAGTTCAATTCAATTTCAATTCTTGATATCGTGGATTGGTAGTTACTTTCAGACACACAATTGGTTCTTCTTCTTACTAATTTTATAGCGCCGTAAAAAAATAAGATTTTTTTTGTTTCATCCCGAAAAGGAAGGCAAGACGGTTTTTTTCTGAAAATGTTCTTATTGAAAATATTTGTTTATTTATATTTTGGGCTAGGATAAGGATTCAGACTTGCGGTTGTCACCAGTTTCCTTATTTTTTCATCCTCTTTCCATCTAAATTATAAAAAAAGCATCATTATATTTGAAATTTCCAAGAAAAGATGGAAAATTGTCGACTTTTAGACACAGCGCCCCCTAGCGGCAACAAAACAATTTAATTTTGTCATTTTTATTATGCATTTCATTAAACAGAAAAAAATTCTTCCAAATGACACCAGAGTCATTTAAATCGGTTGTAAAACAAAAAAATTATGTAACTTTTGTCTCTGACAAGTTTGAACCTTCCCCCACCTCTTATTTGAAGAGTTAGAGCAAAAAATCCTTAACAAAAGTTTTTCGTAATCTCATGAAGATTTCAATAATCATATTTTTAGGATACCTTAAGTCGGCGTTTTTAGAAGATAGTCACAGTATTATGTTTTCGAGTGGTCGTTGCGCCCCCTAGAGGTCAATTTACAAACTTGAAAACTATTTCCAGCAATTTTTCATGGCCTATTTTATAAAAAAAAAATTTACTTGGAAGCTCTAGGACTAATAGTTCCTGATATATAGGCGGCGACCTTTCTTATTTGGACACCCGGTATATAAAATATGTCTAAAATTTTCCGCAGAATCCAGAAATATCATAATATACAGGTGTTCCTATTTAAAAAAAATAAAGTTTTTGACCGTACAGCTGTTGGAACACCCAGTATAAAAATATTGGTTTGAAAAAATCTGAAGCAAAAAACAAAATTGACGTGTTCGAGCGTTTTTTTCGTAAAGTTCCCCATTTATTTATTATTGAATTTATTCCATCTGGCTAATATACACTGTATTTTTTGTATAGTCAGATTAACAAGTATCATTTTCTTTAGAGGATGTTGTATTAAAATGAATTTTTTTTTTCAATTTAGTTTTTTTCATTAATTATTTACTTTTATTACAGGAATTTCCTAATGGTAGCATCTGCCAACAGTACCGAAGTCGGTGTTCTGAGCAACACTGGCGAAGCCTGGACTCAATGGATCATGCCTGGATCAGCCAGAGCCGAACTTCCATTAAGTTCAGAAAAAGAAGAAACTCTACCCATAGGAATGACTTTTGATATCAGTTCTACAACGCCTCTACCTTGGGAGGAATCAACCATACCACCTTGTCCCTTATTATGCGTTTTATCGCATCAAGGCGTATTACACTGTTTCAATGTTGTATATTTGAAACCAGGAATTCCTTCAGTATGCACACCACCTGATAATGTTAAAGATACTTCAGGATTGAGTTGTTTTGTGGCAAAAAAGTCTCAATTTCAAACTGGTGAAATCAAAATTGGAACATCTCAGCCGCAAATCGCATCCAATGACACTAAATTTGTAATGGCTCCTAATTTACGGCAAATTAGTCAATTACATGCAGCCAATACTCCAACAAAAAACGTCACTTTCAATTTTTCAGCATCGTCTCAAAGTACGCCTTTAGCACCCCCGAAAACCAATACCAATGTTGCCAGCAAAACATTGTTCGCCGGTCAAACTACACTCACTCCCATCAAACCTAAGAATCAGTCTTTATTCAGTGAACAATCATCAATTACCCCTGCGAATCAATCAACAATTTTTTCCGCATTAAATCCCACTAGTGTACCGCAAATCAACACTGCTCCAATTAAACCAATCGTGATCAGTGCAGCACCTGTAAAACCAATACATGCTGCTGTTCCAAGAAATAATTTACCAATTAAACAAGAAAACCAAGAAGAAACAGACGCTATGATGCAACAAATGATTAAAGACGAATGGATGTATTTAGAAGCTGAATTAAAAATCTTGCTTAAAATGGGGGGCTCTCTAAAACTAAACATCGGAAGTGATGATGAAAAAATTGCCATGGTTCAGCAACTAGAATCTCTAGATGAATTTGTTAAAGAAGCTGTTGAAATAAGTGTAGGCCAAAGCAATGAAATTCACTGTTTAAAGCAAAACTTACTTCAATCGTGGGCTTGGTACGAAGAAGCCATTTCGCATTATAACGCTTCGAAAAATGAAGCTGTCGCGTTACTTATCAAATGCCAACCGTTAGACACTTTATCAGAAAAACGACTGAGAGAAATTAAGCAACTTGATTTTTATATAAAGTCCCAAATTTCTCAAGCCCACAAAACTTTAGACGAACAATGGGATAGTTTTCAAGATTATGCAAAGAAAACTCATAAAGTGAAAATGCCCACGATGGAAACCATATTTTTAACCATGGTTAAACAAAATGCTATACTTCAAAAGCAAATTTTGCTTTTAAAACAAATTTCATTCCGCTTAACGAAAACTAGTAGCAACGATATTGGAAATTTAACTGCGGGTTTTGAAGATTTAACTTTAAATCCGCAACAGATAAGGCAGCTGCAATATGATAAAGTTAAAAGTTATAGTAAGAATTTGTCTCAAGGAAAAAGTAAGCAGTTGAAGGATTTACTTAATAAAAGAGAAATAACCAAAGTCACTGCTGTTAAACCTCAAATATCTTCGTTTGCCATCAATCAATCTCCTTCTAGTAGAGTGCGACAATCTATTTCTATGCTAGGAGCCAACGTGTCTCCAGCTGCTAAAGCCTCTATTGCTAAAAGTTTAAGTTTTGCTCAATCGCCAACACCAAAAACTCCTGAAAATATTGAAAAATCTACTCCTAGTTTTAGTTCATTACTCAAAACTGGTCCTGTTATTAGCAGTTCTCAAGGAAGTGCTTTTACACCTATCGGCGCTTCTTCTACATCCAATAAAATTACTACACCTTCATTTTCATTTGCTGCAACAACTTCCAGTAAAAATCAAGCGCCTTCAAGTACATTTTCATCAATCTTTAAACCTTCTTCTCAAACGGCAACATTTTCATTTGGGTCTACTAGTACATCTAAACCTGCATCATCTACAAGTGCCTTATTTGGTAATCAAGCCAATAATGCCTCATTTTCTTTTTCTACCTTATCAACAACCACAAGCACAGGAAATGTAGAAGTTTCCAAAACAACAACGAAGCCTCCAAGTGGTGTCGCATCAATTTTTGCCAACATACAATCTGTTATAGATAATGCAACTACTACGACAACTACAACTCAAACAACTTCGCCAACAAAACCTTTATTTGGATCATTCAGTAGTTCAGATTCTGGACATTTATTTGGCAGCGTTTCCAAACCGACAGCATCAAATACCACAACATTCTCTTTTAAAGCTACACCTGCTGATAAACCACAATTAACTAATGTCGATCAAAATAAAACTTCACCTATAATAAAAAGCGAACCATCAAAGATAATCACCGTATCTTTGTTTGATTCCAAAAGTGCATCAGATCAAACCAATACCGAATCGGGCAGCCAATCATTATTTGGAAATAATACAGGGCCAATATTTGGTAATTTATCAGCAACTGGATCTTCGAGTTTATTTTCAAGTTCTCCAGCAGCTACAACAACTACTGCTTCAAATTCGCTACAGTCATCAGTAATTGGCAGTAGTGGCTCAATATTTGGTAATAAGGCTTCGTCAACTTCTACTAGTGGTCCAGCAACGCCTACATCAGTGTTTGGAAGCACAAAAACCACTTTAGAAACTTCTACTACTACAACGACCACCCCTACAGCAATCGTAGCTCCTGTCACTGCATCAACCTCAGTTTTTGGTACCTCAACATCAGTTTTGGGCACAACTACAACAACTTCAACTATTTTTGGTACCCCAACAACTAGTGCCTCGAGTACTTTTGAAGCTCCTGCAATTTTTGGTGCACCAACCACGAGTACATCAACGTCAGTTTTTGGTAAACCAACTACAAGTACAACGACGTCAGTTTTTGGTACACCAACTACAAGTACATCAGTTTTTGGTACACCAACAACAACTACATCGACGCCAGTTTTTGGTACACCAACTACGAGTACATCGACGTCAGTTTTTGGTACACCAACAACAACTACATCGACGTTAGTTTTTGGTACACCAACAACTACATCGACATCAGTTTTTGGTACACCCACTATAAGTACATCGACGTCAGTTTTTGGTGCATCTACTACGAGTACATCGACGTCAGTTTTTGGTACACCAACTACGACTACATCAAGTTCCGTTTTTGGGACGCCTGCAGCTTCTACGGCTCCGAGTGCCTTCGGAGCACCGACGTCTAGTATTTTTGGGGCAACAACAACCACTTTTGGAACCCCATCGACTTCTAGTAATATTTTTGGAGCCCCTCCTAGTGCTGGTTCCAATATTTTCAGTTCGTCTACTGCAGTTTTTGGTGCAACTCCTTCTGGAAACATTTTCGCATCGCCACCAATTAGCAGTGCCTCAGCTTTTGGGGCTCCCGCTACGAATATTTTCAGCCCTACAACCACAACGAGTATTTTTGGCGGTGCCAGCACTACCGCGTCGCCTTTTGGATCTCAAACGGGGCCAATGTTTGGTGTTACGGCAACTACAACTGCTGCTGGTGGCGTGTTTGGACAGCCGCCAGCTTTTGGGAGTCAATCGGTGTTTGGAGGAGCCCCGGCAGCCGCTGGCTCGTCAGTTTTTGGTCAGGCAGCAGCGGCGCCAGCTGTCCCGGCTGCTTCTGGAAATATTTTTGGAAGTACTTCTTCTACCAATGTCTTTGGCTCAGGTAAGATACCTTTTATTGAGCAGTAAATATACGATGAAATATATGAAGGATTTCAATCTTTTTGTCAATTTTTTACTGTATATCTCAATTTTTTTGCCCAATTTTTTGTTATTTTCCAAAATGATATCGACACACGAGTTACTTAACGGAAACAAGAACCTTTTTTAAAAAATTAATTTATTTTCGGAAATACAAGTTTATTACTTGATGTCTTTACAGCTTCAAGTTAAGACTCTAACTAACTGTAAAAGCACCATTACAATTGTAAAGAAAACATAATATTAAAAACTAAAAGCGAAGCAGAAACAAAAGTTGGCGGTCAGCAGTTTGGCATCTATCCTATGTACAGGGTGTGAGATAACTCCTCCCCCCAAAGCTTCAACTCCATGGTTAACGAGGTAGTTGAACATCTTGAAGTTCGATGCTTTCGTTCGTCATTGTGGTTTCATTTGTTCGGCCTAGAGCATGATATTTCCTGTAGCAGTAAAAACTTATAGGAAATAAAATAATAATGTACATGGAAATTGTCCATATACTGGGTGTTGTTGGAATTTGATCAAAAAATAGTTGAGCTTCATTTTCTTGTATTTGGCTTCTGATTTCGTAAAGTTCATCTAACTTTACTTGGTCTAGATGAGCGCTGAGGTTGAGGGTAGGCAGCAAACTAGCTTCATTCTCAAAGTCGGGGAACAGGATCGGTTGACTCCGGGTTGGTATTGATCTCTGATTATGGATGATTGTTTCTTGGTTAACAACAATCTTACAGCTTCCTGGTATCTGGACTAAATAGGTTCCAAATGGGTTCCTTCTTTCATCTTGATTGTCACATTGCAGGCGGATGACTTCTTTTTTTGGCAGAATCAGGGCCCATAGATTGGTTTCTTCGAGTTGTCTAATTATTGGTTTAGAGATTTCAGTCTCGACTTGCATACAGGTATTGGCATTTTTCCTGGATTCTAACAGTTCGACTTCGCATGGGCTGTCGTTGGAGATTTCATTTAAATCAGTTTTGTCACATACATGGAATTGTGTTTTAATTTCTTGGCATTTCAGACTTCGATATGCAAAGTGCAACTGGTTTTTTATAAGAAATTTACTTTGAGGAATAATGACTTTAAACAGACCCTTTCTCCTTATTGGTATTGAAAAGAGATGAAAATAGTCGAATTCTATTGGATATGTTATTGGAATGTGCAACAAATGAGTTATTTTATTATTAAGAATAAAGCATTCCAAGTTTATGACTTTTTCCAAAAGAAAAGTATTTTCGAAGGTCACTTCTAGTGGCATTTGTTTGCAGTGACTTGGTTTTGCATTTTTAGCAATTCAGAGTATAAATCTTCTGTGCTTATTATGCTGTGGTGTAGTATTTTTAACTTAGAGAAAGTTATAGAATTTTCTATGTCTTGTAAAGTAGAATCAATGATTTCGTAAACATTTATAATATGATTTAAGACATCTTTAATGTAAGCTGAATTTTCTCTATAAACAGATTTCTGCACTATTAAAGCAATTTGATTTAATTTGGATTCCAACAATTTTTCGTTATGGTTAATATGCTGGATAGTGGCGTTAAATTTTCCAATGATACTTAAGGATATCGAATTTTGCTTAACAATACTCGAGACCAACTTCTGTTGATTATTTTGTAAATCAAAAATAAGTTTTTCGTATTTTTCGCCATCGGCGGAATCTAGATTTCCTGTTATAGATTTGAATATCGATCCTAGCCCATTTATCAGACCTCTTTTAATTTTTGTTTCAACCCTATTTTTTATAAGGGTTAATATTTTAATGTAATTTGAAGCATCTTCGTAATATTGAGAACTATTGCGTATTAATTGGCTTAAATTTGAAGATTTTAGATGAAGTTTATTGATTTCTAAAATTATTGGATTTAAATCGTAAAAATGAATTAATGTGTGAGAATATTGTTGCAATTTTGCTCGTCCTAATTTAAATGGAATTACTCCAGGGTTGTCCGTAATTTCTCTCACGATTATTTTTTAATCGAATCCGAGTGTTAATTGGAGAACTCTGAAAAAGGAGGCACTAATTAGCAAAACTGTATCTATTCTTTAGAGGACGTTTTAAATTACTAAGGTGTATTTTTTTCTGGGATTCAGTTTTCGCAGTCTTGCGTTTTCTATTCACCGAAAGCAACTTGCTAAATAGGTCGAGAGAATTTATCTGCGTGTTTTTGACTAATATGTTTTTTGGCATAAACATATTTATCCGGTTCAAATATTTCGGGGTCTTACCGGGTTTCGTTAATTTTATTAATAACATTTTCTTTCGAATTGACAAGCCTTTCATTAATTTGTGAATACAAGATTTTCGTTTTATCTTTATGGTCGCTGATATAATCGCTTAGTAAAATTTGTTCAATATTAATATCAAAAGGATTGTCTTCAGTAATATGTCCATTAATTATGTCAGTTGGTTTAAGTTTTGTTGTAGAATGTATGGTTTTGTTATAAGCTAGAATGGCATAAATCATTTTCTGGCTGATTGGAGTATTGCCAAAGTTTTGATTATTTAGTAGTCGAATGTGTTCAGCAAGAGTCGAGTGTAGCCGTTCTACAACTCCATTGGACTGGGGGTGATGCGGAAAGCAAAAATGAATTTGGATTTTGTGTAATTGCAGAAGTTCAGTGACCACAGAATTTTTAAATTCGGTCCCGTTGTCAACAATAATTTGCTTAGGGATTTTGTGGTGCGAAAAATAAATTAGGAGATTATCGACTATGTCTGTTGCTGATAAGGATTTCAGGTCGTACGCCTGAGCCTCGGCCTGAGCGTATTTTGAGAAACTGTCAATAATAGTCAAGAATTTTGTGTGTTCTAATGTATACAGTGTGTTTCAAAAGTCTAGGAACGGTCCAATATTTCCAGAGTGGCTTGAAATAGAATTACGAAATTTTCTGCATATGGGTAATTAATGAAGCCCGATTCAATGATGATATCGACAATGTTGCCAAGTTTACCAGTTTTCAGATAATGTAGATAACTTCGTTTTTTTAAATGGGAATACCACTTTATTTTCAGTACAATAAATTCGGCGCTCTATTGTTATTAAAACCTCTTGATATCATGTTCCTATTTTACACGGTTTCTGAAATATTGCAACACAGCCTTTTTGTTCAAAAGTCTGGGAACGCTCAAATATTTCCAGAGCGGCTTGGAATAAAACTACGAAATTTTCTGCATATGGATAATTAATGATGCCCGATTCAATGATGACATCGATAATGTTGCCAAGTTCACCGGTTTTCAAATAATGTAGAAAAAATCGTTTTTTTAAATAGAAATATTACTTCATTTTCATTGCAATAAATTCGGCGCTTTATTGTTATTGAAACCTATCGATATCATATCCCTATTTCACACGCTTTCTTAAATATGGTAATTGACCTTTTCAATTTAGAAGCCTCTCTCTCTGGCGTCAGACTGTCAGATGCCAAAAGAGTATGAAAAGTATGAAAACAATGATTGACAGCTATTGACAATGGTTTGTTGATAAGAGTTTTATACGTGTGAGACTGGAAACTATTATTTCCTCGGTTTTTTCAAAGTTTCTTCCTAACAATGGTGATTGTGTGTAGTGTGCCTTTTCGTGAAAATAATTCCTATTTACCGGCGGACGTGTCTTTCCATAAGTTTTCATCAAATCCTACATTTGTCAAAATTTGGATACACAAAATCAGAACTGATACTCGCAAAAGTAAGGGAAATCCACGATCCATCAAGTATACAAAGATATCCACGTTCAAGTTTAGTTTGCGGAAGCTGTTTGCTTCCCACATTTTCTTTACAATTTCAAATTTCACCATTCTATGTCGGTCATTGTCATTCTCCATTCACTGAACAAAGATACCTAACTCATCGGTGGAGTCACCGATTAGAATAAAAACCAGGGGATTGCTAAACACCCTATACACTTGACATTGACGAGCAAGCAAATGTTGGCGGGAATCTGAATGTTTTCATACTTTATCGTCCATCTCTTTTAATTGAAAACGTCAATAGAGCGGCTTGAAATAAAATTACGAAATTTTCTGCAGAGGGGTAATTAATGATGCACGATTCAATGATGATATGGACAATGATGATTACCGGTTTTCAGATAATGTAGGTAATTTCGTATTTCTTTTTTTTTTTAATAGGGATACCACTTTATTTTCATTGCAATAAATTCGGCGATTTATTGTTATTAAAACATCTTGATATCATGTCCCTATTTTACACGGTTTCTGGAATATTGCAACACAGCCTTTTTGTTCAAAAGTCTAGGAACGGTCAAATGTTTAAAACGACTGAAAGTAGGATTATATTTTCTGGGGGTCAATTCGAGATTTGAGAAAATATTACCCCAGGAAAATATTTTATCTATTTCTTTTAATAATACCGGCAAAAATGACACTAAAAAACTGGTTGTCGAGTATAAATTGATATTTTATACAGGGTGTATCAGGTTTGACTACAAAAGTTTGAACAAAAAAGGTTTTTATAATATGACGTGAAAACTCAATCATTTTTAATAAAAAGATCTTTAAAGTTATGACAACTTTTGACAAATATTAGGAAGATAAAGAAAATTTTAATCATTATGAGATCAAAAAAAAATTAACTTCATCACTTTAAGTCAACAACAATAATTAAAAATTGACAAAACATGACACCTTCACTCGTAATTCGGCATCTAAGCATTTGGCAACATAGCATAAAAATTATAGGTGGTTGAAAATAAAATGTTCTCAAACGTCGAATATGCAGATACTTGTTAAGGCAGAATCATTGCAAAATACTCATTTAGCAGCCAGAATTTACAGGGAAAGATTTTCCATTAGAAGGGCATTCACCTGATGAAAGAACATTGTGCCCGTTTCACAAAGACTGCTTGATATGGGAAGTGTAAGTGTGTAAAATCTCTTCTCTTGAATGTTCAGTGCAAAAATGTCATTGAGTGCAATTCACAACTTATAATAAAATGGCACATT